CTCGCCAATATCGTACTCCACCGTGTCCAGCCTGTTTAGCCAAACGTAGGCCGATTCCTCTTCGGCGGCATCGTGACCTTGACCGAAGGAAGAGTCTTGAAGACGCTCATCTGCGCATAGGAATAAGTTGACTGCGTAGCGTATTGCGTATTAATCGATTCTGAAACTTTCTATCTCGTGTATAACATGTTACGCAAGTTTATTATTTTAATCTCGATTTTAATAGATAAATGTGTGAAATGCCACCTGAATATCTTCCGCCATGACATGTTTTTACATTTTTGTTATGGTAAAGTGATTTGTATAAACTTTATTCAATAACGTATATTTTCCTCCATTTGTGATTTTTTAATTTTAAGCGAAAATTAAGTATAACATTTTAGGAAAAAAGAAACACTGTAATATTTAAAAGAATAAGAAGAAATTAGTCTTATTTTGAAAGGAAAATATAGAAAAAACTCTTTCTATAGAAAAAGTCTTTATACTAACCAGAATCTGGTGACATATACGCGGTCTCACCGGAAACATTACTTATTACTTCACATAACTTGAAGAATATCTACTTTTAATAATGAACACTTCAGAAATACACCAGTAAAACATTTATTATTTGAGATTAAAACTCGAATTAAATTATAAATATTAGTTACCTATGTTGTTATAGCTTTTATAGGCCTGTTTAACGACTTAATAAGTTACCTAGCGAAAAAATCTGTGCGCGTACCTACCACTATTGTTACAGGTTAATTCGTTAAAGAAATATGTTACACAAGTTAAAAACGCTAAAATTTTAATGGTATTACTTGTGCATTATTGGCCTTATAATGTAATTTGTTGGAATTATATCTTCTTTAAATATAATTAGACTTTTTAACGACTTTTAAGTTACCTAGGAAAAAATCTGTGCACGTACCTACCAGTATTGTTACAGGTTAATTCGTGAAACAAATGTGTTACATATTATTCGTGGTATTAGTGGTATTATATTGGAATCAGCTTGGCATTAGTGGGGCATTATATGAGAAATTTTGGTATTTAATTTGTATGTTTGGCATTACTTTGGCATTAGTATACAGACATTTGTCAGCGGTTTACTCCTTATAGATAATCAAAAAGTTTTTTGATAAAATTTGCTTTTTATGTCAGATCATTTCTATGAAAAATTACATTAGATTTTTATTAAAGACGCTGGGTAATTAAAACATTGACTAAAAAAGCTTGTCCACTTTAAATAAGGGGTCACGAAATATCCTCCTTTGAGTGTTTGGGTTAAGGGGTGTATAATAAATTAATCGTTGTTTTATAATAAAAACCATAAAACATTTATTTGTGAGTAAAATAATGCAATGGTTGGATATCTCTCCTTTATAATTAGGTGACTAAAAATACACTAAAATAATTAGAAAAAAAAAATCTTGTACTTATTTAGTAATTACGTCAATATTAATTAATTGACTTTCTAGTCTATTTTATTTTATGTACAAATATATTATTAAATTTTAAGCATTAAGTAATAAAACACTTTGTGGCCCTCTTATATCTTAAGAGGTTACGAAATATACTCCTGGTTACACCCCTTACAGAAAACAGTGTAAGGGGTGTAAATAAATTGTATAATCACTGTTTTTATAATAAAACTATAAAACATTTCTTATTTGTGAGATTAAAAAAAAAAAACAATGCATTGGTTAAAATAAGTACATTCAATACATATGTATGTGTTATAACATAATATAGCCATTACTATTATACTATTATTATTATTAAAATAATATGTGTGTAACATATTTCTTTAACTAATTAACCTGTAACAGACATTTATATGCCCAGTATATTTTTGTTTAACAAACCAATCAGGAAAAATCCAAAACCTACCGTTATAGGAGGTATAAGATGATTAAACTTATATAATGACAACTACTTATCGGATAACAAATTAATTACTACTGTCAGCTAGTTCAGCTACTGTCTAGGTAGAATTTACCTAGAGTACCTACACCTACCTATGATGTAGGTAGATTAAAGCTTATTTTGACGTTACCTCTCACTTTGGTATCACAAGCTGAATTTTTCAGAGATGGAAGTACAGTACATCACAGTATATGATATGGGGACCCTTATTCCGAAAGTAGTACAAAATTAGACCGGGTAAAAAGGCACTATCATCAAAAATCGATATATTAATACCACCGTATAGAGAAAACAAATACTTATTTTTTGATCCAGTACACAATGAAGTCTTCGTAGGGAGTAATTTTTTATAATTATTTACAAAAAAAACATTTCCATTAGCACTTATGACCAAAAAAAACTTTAAACATGAATAATCATTTCAATCATGCGAAAATTTGGTTTAAAATAGATTTTTTTTTAATATAACTTTCATTTAACGAAAAACGAAGGCCTAAATGAAAAAAAAGAAACAATTTAAAAGTTTCGCTTATGTCTTGACAAGGTATCAAAGCAAACCCCATATTTTTTGCTTTTAAACTAATAAAGATATATCAATAAACAATTAGCGATGTAATGGTTTTTGCGCGCGCTGGCCGACTGCCGCCGCTGCGCCGAGATTTCCTATACCCTTGTATATATGACGTCATGGTGTGGCAAATGTAGCATTTTAATTCGATTTGGGCTCCCTTATATAGGATAACAGAAACATTTTCAATGTTAAAAATCCCTTGCGTGTGTTGTCAAATTACGGCTATTGTGTTATGTCCAACCACCGCACGACCAAATGGAGTTTTATTTGTAGATATATATCTACACCGATTTAGTAATTATTAAAAATAACACTAAATTTTAAAGATAAATTAAACAAAATTTGGTAACTACGTTCGCTTTGTGTTCTTGATACTGGTATAATTTGACTAATTTTATAAGCAGTTGATAATAATCATTCAATAACTTAATATTGGTCATTAAAGAAACTATTAAGAAAAGCATATTTAAGTTTTTTGTTTGCCAAAATTGTTATGAAAATTTTATAAAGCGGTAAATCCAATTAAACTATCCTAAAAGAAGCGGAAAAGTCCAGTTTTAATATAAAGCTTTAAAGTAGTTTTAGAAACAAATCCGACTTAGGAACTAGTAAAGAATTACGTTTTTCCATCTAGATAATATTTAAATTAAAACAAGTTTGAACTTAATTATGTTGATATATTTATAGTATAATAATGGTAATAATTTTAACATATTTTATTTAATCACATAATTTCATTTTAGTTTTAATAATACGAAGAAACCTTAGCATAAAGAAAACTGTATGTAATTTTTAGACCGTGCTATTGTTCGCTCTTATTCTTTAGTTTTTCTTCGTACTGGTTCGATTAAATAATGTATAGTTTAATCTTTAAGTGGTTATATTGTTTAACGTATAATTCATAAGGCAAAACCCGATCTGTAAACAACAATTTTTTGGTTCTTAATGCCAACATCAACATATTCATGGTGAAAAACTAAATCATCTAAGACTAGCCGATGATATCGTATTGATATCAGACTGTATTACCTAAGAAAGATATATGCTCGATAGACTTAATGTTGGTGTATGCATATGTTGGTGTGGGTCTAAAAATAAATAGATGTAAGAATCAGTTTATGAAGAACATGGTGGTAGGCGGGGTGTGTACATTGGGGGAGAGACTATTTTTTATTATTTTGAACAAGTGCACTTTGCGTATGCGCATTTACATGTATTGTTATATGGCTTTCTCGGAGATGCGAGTGATATTTGAAGATGCTAGTAGTTAAGAAAAGGTACCCTGACGGGGATAACTGGGCAAGTGATAATTGACCAGTTATCGAGCGGGGTTGAAAATTATTGTGGGTTGTATGATCATTTTGTTTCATCGAAATCGGTCAAGACGTTTCGGAGAAATATGCTAAAACTGGTGATACGAGAATTTTTTATAAAGTATAGAAAATACAATTTGACATTTACAAAATCTTAGGTTGAAAAATAGGTTGAAAACTTAAGGTATGTTGGCATTTGCCTGATTTTGCTCTTCAGTTTTAATTTAAAAATAAATAATGCAGTTTTTCTTATATTAGTTAAACTCAACTTGTTCATAATTATTCAAATTTGGCATTTGCATTCAGCATACACAGACCTTTATAAAATTATTTACGACTTGGCTGTAAAATAAACAGGGTAGACATTTGGACATTTCCAAATTTGCATGGGATTTCCTATGTTTCCAACGATGATGCGCCACTCGGTACACTGTCGTGCTAAGGAATAAGCTCTTATCTGATGCGTTTGAACAAATTAATATCTTTTGCATAACCGCCGCATTGTAAGCAAAATTATTGCATTGAATTTTCAAAATAAGATAAGTTTTTGTTCTTCTTCTCATTTAGTTGGAAAATCTTAATATTTTAATTACTGTATTTGTACTTATCTCAAATTTATTTATGGCGGTTTTCTTTGTTGTTTCTTGTTTTCTGGAAAGCGGTTAAAGTGATGTCTTTTCAGAATAATGTCTAATGTCTAATATATGTTACAGTAAAAATTAGAAGTCAGTGAATCATAAGAATTACTAGTAAACGCTCACATTAACTGATATGCTAACACTACGCTGGTAAAAGTTACGACTACTAGTAAAACGACTAATTTTGAAACGAACTTTTACTAGTGAATCGGGGTAATTAAATTAGTTTTGCTTTTTGACTATATTTTAGCAGCTATAGTAAACGCCACGAATGTTTGGGAGTTATTCATCGCTTGATGAAGTTAGAATCGACACGCGCGCTATCATTTTTACATTAAAAACGTAAATTTTTACCGTAGACGTAGGTTTTTAAAGGCCCGGTCTAATCATCTGCCTGCGCTCCTCCTACTTATTCTAAAATGTTAGCGTGATTGACAAAGACGATACTATATCGCGTTTCTTTGATTGATTCGTTTTTGTGCAGTCAGTTTATTGGTGTGCTTGCAGTGCGATCAATGGGGCATTCCATTTTATATTTATAACCAAATATATGTTTTGACAAGACTTTGACAGTTAAAACAACCTTCATGACCTGCAAAAAGTGTAGATTTTTAATTATTAAGAAAACAATTATTTACAAACACAAACCTTCTTTACTTGAACTTGTTCTATAATATTTATAACAACTTTTAAAAACCAACTCATCCAGTTACCCCATACAGATGTAACACATCTAATTTTAGATAAACATTTGTAATCTTAGGTAAGCATCCTTTATTAATAAATAAAGAGAATGTAGAAAGATAATAAACGTATCCTTAATTTTACATACCTTTCTGATTCCGACGTTAAAAATTAAAAACAACAAAATAATATTTTCACCTGATGATATCACTTTTTGAAAGATGTCCATAGATGAATATATTATCGGACCCGAGACGTATACTTGGTTGCCTAACATTTAAATAATTTTTGACTTTTGACATTTGTAAATGACAATAAATAATTTGTCATACGTCTTTATTTAGTTTATGAATCATTTTTTAATTATTTAAAATTAGTTATTCTGTGTTTATAATTTTAATTTAACACGTTTAATTTATTGTTATACTTGTTAGAGTAATACTGTTGTGATTCAAAATGTTTTCTAGTGGTCCCAATTATACTAAACTAAAAACTAACTTGAGACTGGCAATTACTCGATTGAAGTTGTTGAAAAAGAAAAAGAGTGAACTTACAGAGAAATCTAGACAATTAAAACAGATTATATGTTGATTATTATATGACTTGAAACACCACGGCACTGGAATTAAGTTTTATGTGACCTTGAACAGATTAGTTCACATTAGCGACCGATGAATCACTCCCTTTGAATAAGAAGACTAAAAAAGGAGCATAATGCTATCCATGTATTCATGCATGGTGGGCGGAAAAGCCACCATAAAAGCTCTCTAGGGTGGGGATCCTTGACAGTTCTGTTTGACGATTCATTTGACACGTTCACAAAACATCCCCCTTTAGAACTTCATCTGTCATGTTAAGAAATGAAAGTAAATAATAAAGCGCCCCTCGTGTTTGTTCGCACTCAAAAAATCTCAATTAATGTCTGTATATATTTTTAATATATTTTTTAAATTTACATTTTTTTAATTGTAAAGTAATATAAGATTTAAATGGGATATATTACATAACAATTATGTCAATTACAGGATTACAAGTTTGTTTTCTAATTTTTAAATAAAACCAATTATAAAATTTCAATATATATATATATATTTGTCGTAGGTATGAAAAAAGTAAAATATAAAATGGACAAATGCTTACTTACATTGCAATAAAACTTCCACTTTTAGTTTTACAATCCAAACGCAATATTTCTATTTCACAAATAAAAATATCCGACAACACTAAAATCACTGAAACTTCCGCGGCTGACAACGAAAACTGAAAAATATAACGGCACTTTTTGTTTTGGACCTGCATATCAACATTACGCTGTACTATTATGTGTTTGTTGTAGAAATAATATAAAATATCTAATTATAACTTGTAAATTTTAACATTTTAACATGATTTTAACTACTTTTGACAATAACTAACTTTTTGTTATGAAGATGACATTTTAGACGGCAACTGACATTATATGTCATAATATTTGAATCTTAAATATGTATGTAATATAATTTAAATTCCTATAATGCAACTTTATACTAAGAAAACATTTATACATTCACAAAATACAACAAAGTCTAATAATATAGTTTGAAAACAATGAATATTGAATTAAAATTAAAAAAGTTAAGCGCGTCCCCTTGTGTCAAAATTAGATGATTAAATTTCTGCAATTTTTACACCATTTGATGACCGGTGGCCCCTCTAGTGTTTGTTCGGGCGGTTGGTCTTTTACTCCCGCTTATGGCTATTAAAGAAAAAGTTCTAAAGGGGGATGTTTTGTGGACACGTTTGAATTTGATTTGAAATTTTGTGGATTTGTCAGTCTTTACTGAGCTTATTTTATGTTATTTATTATTTATTCTACTACTGATAGTTGTATAAAGGTAGTAAATCTAGATGGAAATTGTGGCAGAACTTAAATTAACAGTGACACTATCGCGATTTATCGAAAGAGACTCTAAAATAGTTGGTTGTGTAGCGTGCGGTAGATCTCGGCAAAAATTGAGTGAAATAATGGAACAACTTTTCGCTAGTAAGTGACTATATAATATACATACGTGTAGTAAACCGATCATTCATAAAATTCACTTAAATTAACTAAATTATATATTTTTCTTGCATTTTAGCTTTTATTTATTACTTGTCAAAGATTAGATGTCAAAGAATTTAGATACGTTAATTTGACTTACCTGCTTCAGTAGCGTATCGGATGTTTGTGTTAATAAATACTGATTATAACTTATCTATTTTTATTAGAATTATATATTTTTATAACAATTTTAATAACTACCAACATTTATTCACAACGTAAAATAAAACAACAAATTATTGAGTCTACCCCACGTCTACCCTACATCATAGTTTTACATTTTTTAAATAAAATTAGAACGACACTGATAAACCGGAATTTAAGTCGGCCATATTTGAGGCCGATCGCGGTGTACCTAATATTTTTGATATGCTCCTTCCTTAGTCTTCTTATTCAAAGATCACTCCCAAACATTCGTGGCGTTTACTATACCCGTAATTTACTATCGAAAAATATCGACCAGAGCCGATCGATACATCGAGGATTTGACGTGAGATATTCGATTTAAAGTCAAGTTATTCAATACAATTAAATTCATATTAAAATAAAAAAAATAGAGAATTTTAAAAAAGATTGAAACCAAATTAATCAAAACTTATTAGAAAATTAGAAAAAACATAATTATCATTGATGATTTCTGAGGTTAGGCCTAAGGGTACTATTGTCATTTTGGTGTTTCTATTTTCGATTGTTTTCTTGTAATTTTAAGATGTGTGGATCGGCTTAAATATAATAGACGGAGAGCTGGCTACATAAAAAATTTTATCATCGTTATATGGCCAATTTTTCTTGTCAAGTATCCTTTTGTGTTGCCATTATGAAACAGTCATGTCTGCCAGCGCAATCCCGGGGCTTAAAGCGGGGTGGCCAATCGAAAGGGTGAAATTTTCTACACTAAAAATATTATAAGGTACACGAGTTATAATTACCAAATAGCTTTTATTTATAATTAAGAAACGTGAAAATTTTTTGGCATATTGTTCTCGTGGCTAAAATGCCGGCAGACAACACGAAAGAGCCATGAAATTAAAAAAAAGCCGTAATTAAAAGCCGTATACAAAAGGACAGAAAAAAAGATTGTGGCTCAGTCAGCGGTAGCCGTTAGTTATCAAAAGTGCGATATTACCAAAGTTTACAGAATAAAATAATTACTCTCTACAGGGTAAGTATTAAATAAGTGCAAATATTTTTAGAGCTGGTAGATCTCGATAACAGAAACATATTTTCATTTTACCGTTTTCCAAATAAGTTCAAAATAGCCGAGTTATTCAAGTTTGAAAATTTAAAAGAAAATTGATTCATTTTTAAATAATTTTGCAAGTCGCCTGTTTTTTTTCTGTATTTGCATCCATTCTTTGAGTGTCGTAACCAGTAAGTAAAGCAACCATAAAGAAAAGCCATAACCATGGTAGGTTAAGAAATAATTACGCAAATTTACCCATTGTATAACGTGGGTAAATTTGCGGTGAACAGGCAGTTCTGAAAAGTTTTCTAAAATATACAGCAAAATTTAAAAAAAATTCACGATTTTCGACGTCTTTTTTTGCGAAAAAACCCTCATAGACGTGTTCCTGGAATCAGCATCCATTTATGTCATAATTTTTTAAAAATATGACCATAAAAAAGTATGGCCTCCGGAAAAAAATTCATGCTTCTTTCGTGTCGTCTACCGGCATTTTAGCCACGAGAAAAATGTCTGCCAACAATTTTTCACCATTCTTAATAATAAATAAAAGCTATTTGGTAATTATAACTAGTGTACCTTATAATATTTTTAGTGTCAAAATTTCACCCTTTCGATTGGCCGCCCCCGCTTTAAGCCCCGGGATCGCGCTGGTAGACATGACTATTTCATAATGGCAACACAAAAGAATACTTCACAAGAAAAATTAGCCATGTAACGGTGATAAGGTTTTTTATGTAGCCAGCTCCTAGACTATAAAGCTGATTCAATGATCTTTAAATTTTTATTTGCTCAAATTTCCAACAACGCGCTCGCTATTGTACAATAACAACTATTTCTAGTAAATTTTACTCTCATTAGCGACTACTAGCAATTACTAGGAAGAGTCGACGAATTACTTTAAAATATGGAGTTACTAATCCAATGGGTAGTTGTTAGTATTTCCTAGTGATTGTGTTGTTTCCTAGTGTTAAACTTTTACTGGATTTCCGGCTATTACTGTAACATATGTTCCTTAAAACGTTGCCTTAAAGTTTATAGAGTGGAAAATAAGTTTGCTTAACCTTTCCGGGACCGTGCTACAAAAAGTTACGTTTCAGGCCATGTGGGGTAACTACGGTACCCCACTGAAATATTTCAAAAACTATTAATATTTTGTCACTCAGGTAAATTATTAGTAATTATTTGTAAAGTTTAATAATAAAACGTCAATAATTTAAATATTTTGTATTTGTTTAATATAAAAAACATTTAATTTTAAAACTAAACTCTTATTAGTTTTCTACACATTATTTTGGCATAAACACGTTTTACATTCTTTGCCGAGAATATTAAAAATGGGTTTTTGCATGTATTACATAATATTTTGTTTTTCTCTTACGTGATCTGGCGCAAAAGCCGCATCTCGGTTTGAATTAGGTTGAATCTCTTTAGCAGGATTTATAGAAACTGTGCTTTTGGCAAGAAATAATTTTATTGCTGTTTTTACAGTTTTGTGAAACTTGTTACTATTTTATTTACTTCTTAGAACGTTTAGAAGTACAAGCCCTTGTGCTGAAAGATTGCTCTTCGCAGCAAATTCGGCAGGAATTTTTTTTTTGTGAGCCCATCATCAGTATATTCCTTTTGCGCCATTTTCCAATAAACACACACACTAACTTACTACATCACAGTAAATACTAACACTAAACTGAATATAGAACTTGTTTACGTCTTCATACAAAGTCACCAGTGCGGGGTAACGGAGGTACCCCAAGCAGTAAATTTCAGTTTTTCGCCGAAATTAAAAAAAAATATTTGGCTATTTTTGTTAAAAAGGGTTTTGTAATATATATTCTAGGATTACCTGATAGGAAAAAAGTGAGAAATAAAAATTGTAAAAGTTATTAAAGAAAAAAAACGCATCTGGGGTACCTAAAATACCCCGCACGGTCCCGGAAAGGTTAAGAATTCGTAAATATCGTAGTTGAACTTTTATCATATACCTTATCAAATGTCAAAAAGATAAAAAATCTTGCTATTTTTACTACTTTTTTACTAGGAGATCTATAGAGAATTGGTATTCTGTTTCAGAAAAAAAAGAATGCTGTTCTGCAAGAAATGTGTTATGGTACCTGGTGTTCTTTGGTTTTGCAGTGAATTACATGATAAGGATCAATCTAAATATCGCCATAGTAGCCATGATACAGCCAAAAGCCAGGGATAACTTGTCTCTTAGCAGTGAGTGCATCGCATCAGATGCGAGTATTATAATGAGACAAAGCTCAAATAATTTCTCAAATAGCGTAAGTTCTCGCAATGAAATAATCTCATATATTTTTTTACTATACTAACATGTCATTCAGAGCTGCAAGCTCATAGAAAACATAAGTCTTTTTTTGATTAAAATCATTTTAATGACTTAAATCATTTGATTTTAAGTAATTTTTCGAAAAGCTGACTTAAGACTTTTAAGACTTAAATTTAAGTCTTTTTCAAAATAGCCTGTGATTTAAAGCTTTATTCCAAAATAGAAAAAGGAAAGTTTTAAAAAAGACTTAAGTCATTGAATTTAAGTCTTTTTATCTTTTGTTTTTATTTGTTCTGAAAATTAACTGTTTTATTTTATATGGTTTTAGTTTTTATTATCTGTCTTTTTTATCTGTACCAACAATAAATTAATAGTATGATATTAGTAAGAAAATCGCTATCGCCTAAGTGGTAATACAAGAAAATTAATATTAACATTTAAAAAAGGTACATAAATTGAATTTTGGTTGTCTTGACTTGAGGGTAATTTTATTGATTTAAGTCATTTTACTGACTTAACTTGCAGATCATCATGATCTAAGTGAAAAATCTAGGTTTAAGTCATAAAAACGACTTAAATAACGTTATATTGACTTAAGTCTTGACAAAAATGACTTCACTTGTAATAAAATGATTTAAGTCAAAGATTTAAGACTTAAATCATTTGAACTTTATGTTGAATTTGACTTAAGACTTCAATCATTTTGATTTTAGAAATTACTTAAGACTTAAGTCTTTTTAAAACTGACTTGTTGCAGCTCTGATGTCTTCTGGTGGAATATTTTAATTCAGCAGCATTTTTGTTTAAAGTCAATTTGCTATGTTAACCGAGTTTTCTAATTATTTTAGATTGAGTTACTGTACTTTCTCTTTTATAAAAATTACACTGGTCTGGAAAATAATTCCTAAGCACCATTTCTGCTGATTCTTGTGTAAAATGACGTCCTGAATTGAAATATAGCTCCCGTTTTCTTCTACCGCCCACCATTTTTGGGGAAGCATCCTCCCGCTCTCTATTTTTGTCACGTTTTAATAATAATAATAGTTTATGCATAAGAATTTTATTTGAAGAGGTGAAAGGAATTAGTTTAGCTGTAAACAATAATAAATAAGACAATCTCTATCTTTATTTGGTGCTCGCCTGCCATTTACACGGAAATTTCTAAAACATTTATTTAAATAAGGTCTCACTTAGATATGCTACAATATTTAAGGAAAAATTTTTCTTTACCTGATTCACCCGGCGAGCAATAAACGTTAACACATTTTAAATCGTAATTTTAAAAGTTAGGCTACTTTTCAAAATTGTGTGCCCTCCCTTGTTCATATTTTAATTTTACTTATATTCATCAACCTCAATAATTGCTTTTAGGTAATTCTCAGCCCCACAGCCCCAACCGTCTTCCACTCTCTTAATTACACCCCGACATCCTTCGCCGATCCGTCCAATTTAACCACCTTAGAACCTAAACCATTTACATCGCCCCCATCCCAACCGCCTCCAACCAAACATCCCCTAAGAAACACCACGTTTCGGGATAAACATCACTCGCCCTTTACAAACGTGGGGCCTGGAATAAGAGACAACAGTAAATTCGACTGGAACGAAAAGGTGCAAGGCCATGTGCTGGGTAGTTTCTTTTGGCTGCACTGGACCACGCAGATTCCCGGTGGACTGTTGGCGGGGAAGTACGGGACCAAGCTGGTGTTTGGGCTATCGAATTTTGCTGGGGTGGTGTTTTGTTTCGCTATACCGTTTTTTGCAAAGCTGGGATCGACGCATTTGATGGTGTTGAGATTGGTGCAAGGAATTTTATGCGTAAGTATTCAACGATTTCTTTATTAATCATAGATAATATTATTCCCCAGGTTTTGACTGGGAGTGGAAAAAAATGTCAAAAGTCGCTACCAAAGTCAACTTTACCTTTTTTACTTTAGCCAACAAACTAGTAACTTTATTTAAAAAGTAATCTGCGATGTGTCTGGCCAAATCTTGACATAATTTTGATTTCAAATTTAATTTTTGCTCCTTTAGCCACTCTTCTTTTAATCTACAAGACATGGGCTATGATTATGTTGGAGCTGTGATAGACGATAAAAGCAAACATACAAGAGAAGAAACGAAATAGGTGGTATGTGTTTGTAGTATATCGATTTCTTATTTTGGGCCGGCAATAAGAACAGCTAGAAACAATATTAACCCTTTTTCGTCGGAACCAAGTTTTTTCATTTGTTCAGATATCTTTTATACATAATCAAAAGTTTTTACTGCCTTATAAGCATGTAGGATTCCTAAATGTCTTAATTAATGTATAAATGAAGTAATTCCCTAAAATGTGTTTATTGTGTTTTTTTAGTTGATGATTGTCGTTTGATATCCCATATAGCAAAATTTGAAGTCAATTTTAAAAATGCCCCGCCAGAATTCATCATTTTATAAAGGCACGGGTCAACTGATTTTACTTGAGTACTGTCACAAATCCAACATAAACGCACCGAAGAAAGGTACCTTGAATATTGCCGCTATTATCGATGTTCTCATTGGATGCTCTCACTCTCCCTAGTTCACATTTAGCAACTCCGACATAAATACCTCCCAATTCCGTATTTTTTAAGGCCGTATTTATGATGGAGCTGTGATAAACTGTAAAAATAAAGATACTAGAGACGCAACGACATAGAATTTTGTATTTATATAGGAAAAAAAGCGCTAAACTACTTACCGCTTCAACATAAACACTTGTATGGAAAATGCATTTTATATTTTTCTTCGCTAGTATTTATTTTTACAGTGGTATATCACTGCTCAAACATAAACACGGTCTTAAGCTACACGCACACTGGTGCGATCACGGCCGCGATCACAATCACGATCAGGGCAGCGATAACATGAGCGATCATTCTAGCACACACCAACGCGTTCGCGTTCACAGCCGTACCTATATGTATTGCGCCATCCTGTAGGTATACATAGGTACAACTTAAAAATGTGAATTATATATACCAAAAAAACATTCTTAAATATTTACCTACAATATTTAAAATTAAACAATAAAAATGTATACATATACATATGTACTAGCCAATCCAATTGCAATTCCGATTTTGTCTCAAACTTTTTATTTTTAATTCTATGACTTTTGTAACTTGGATCGGATAAACCATATAGAATTTTGTGTATTTTTACAGCCTTATTAGCTGCTCTGTTAAGTCCATTTCTAAATTGCAACAAGAAAAAACACACAAAATAACGGAAAATTCTTATCAGTTAGGTCGCGATCACGTGATCAAACTCGACAAGTTGAATCTGGTCGCCACCGCAGAATAGAACGCCGCCAGGCCGCTTCTTCTCCAAAACTCGATCGCGCCAATGTGAAACGGTTCCTCATATTCATATGTATTCTTCAGCAACTTTTGGCCGCGGCCGCGTGGAAATCGTGATCGCGGCCGTGATCGCACCAGTGTGCGTACAGCTTAACTCTTTCAACGTCATAATTTTCACGGTATCTTTTCTACATGTCTATTACTCTTTCTAACCTTAATCAAAATGTGTCAATTCTTGTCAATAGTATCTTATCGATATTGATAGACATTAAAATTAAGCTATATTTTATTATTAAAATTATGCATGAGCTCGCCAGATAAAGTGGAGCAACTGCCCCGCTACGCCCATGGATAATATTGTGTTCTCATTCATAACTAAAGACGGCTATTATTTCTAAAACATATACAGGGTGTGATAACTTGAAAAGTAACAAACACGAATCGCAAGGAATACAAAAGTTATTTGAAACATATATCGGGAAATTGGAGGAGAACATTTTCCGATCTGTATCTGACACCTTGAGATAGAAAGTTCAATAAATGGCTTTCAAAAATTTTCTTCTTTAAGTTGACTTAGAAATGTTAATATAAGATTTTCACCATATAATTTTTTCATATAAAATCACGGCGATCTTCATTTGCAAGCCAACCCAGACGCCGTGTTTTGATTCGATCATATGGGATATATTTCTCTGCCATTGAAAACAAAACAGAAAAACTATTTAATATTCAAATTATGTAAAAAAATAGACTTACTGTTTCGACAAAGTGCTTCAAAATGACTTTTAAAAATGACTCTGATATAATGTCTCCATTTTCCATGTCCCGGCTGCTTAAATTTAAGGAAATAATATTAAAAATCTTTAAGAAAAAATACATATTTGTTTAGAGATATTGCTAATCCAATCATTAAACCATTTATAATAATTTCTAGTTTCAAAAAAACCTTTGTGTGTTTTTTTTAAACTAGAACTGTGTTTTTCAAATGTCACTCACCCTTATAACATTTTTATTTTGAGATAAAAAAAAACGAAATTTGGTATGTTAGTATAGGATATAAATAAGGATTGACTGACGTATTCAATTAATTTCGTTCACTTCCCCTTCACCTAAAATGACACTTTTGATTTTTGATTTTTAAATGGTACTGCGATATTTTTTTAGTTTATTTGATTATTTTAGACAAGTCAACTTTTGATAATCTTAATTAAAAAATAGCATTTTAAATTTCAGTCTAAAGGCAATAAATGTAACGATAATTTGACTCGAAATAGCAAATATATACTAAGAATGTATTCGTAAAAAATGCTTTTTCGAAATATGCTAGTGGCCAACCCTACTTCCATTTGAAAAAATTGAGTTATAATTTTGATGAGAGATATAAACCTAATGAGATATAAACCTAATCTATTTTTCCAAAGCTCCTTCATTATAAATTATTGGGTTTAACATAGCCATGGCAAACTAGATTGAAATTTAGAATCCTATTTTTTTAATTGAAAATGTCAAAAGTTGACATATAATATGTCATTATATTCAGAATGCCATTTTCAAATAAAAATACCGAGGGTACCACTTAAAAGCAAAAGTTGTGGTCAAAAAAAAAGTTCAAGGAAAGTTCAAAAAAGCAAAAAAGTTCAAGGAAAAACAAAAGCAAAGTTCCGTTGAAATAGGAAGTGACCGAAATTAATTGAATACATCAATAATTAATATCCACCCACTTTTGTAAAACACCCGGTATTGCACATTCAATGTTTGTTTTGAAACAAATTTTCAACACACCATTTTCATTAAAATGTAATTTATTATAATATGCTTCTAATTCGCTAATATTAAATCTGTCTAATTCTTACATAAAATATTCTATAAATTAAGTACCTACGTTTAACTAAATTAACAGTTCATCGACCCTATTTCCGAGACTTTTTTTATGTTAAAGTAAATTCGAAAGTAAATTTAACATTAGCTGTTCACATCGGAATAACGCTTCTTAAAATATCTTAAAACATGTGTTTATTTGTTTAAAGTTTGATGATCCTTAGCGGACATCGAAGCACTTCATTATATGTCACTATGTTTTTTGTTAAACGTTTGCTAAGACTCATGGGTAGAACAGTGCATATAAATTGCTGAACGTACCCTATATTTTGTATTTTAACACGGAAACTTAAATTACAGCCAGTCATAATAAAACCTTTTTTGGAATCTCGCTAATTTACTTGATATACCGTATGATCGAAAAAAAGCATCAAAGACGGCTGTGGATGATAATTTTGGCGAGGTGAAGCTCTAGACGTCATTTACTAAAAATTGACTTAAAACTTATCAATAATTAACACAAATTATAGGAAGATTGTGATGATTTCCTTACTAGATCACAATACGGTTTAAGAAGGGGGACAGGAACAAGAGAAGCCATCCTGAGTTTAATATTAATCGCAGAGAGTTATATGGAAGTCCAAAGGAAGCTGTACGTATTGTTGCGGACCCGTGCCGTGTGAACTCAGCCTTAGGCCTGGCGACTCGCCTATGACTCATACGCCCAGCGATGCCGACGTTCTAAGAACGAATAAGAATTGACTAGACAAATCTGGATTAGCTGTGTCCTACTTTATTTACAAACCTATCTAAATCATCAAAAACTTGTGCAGTCGCCACCTCCGTCTCCCTGATTTGCGCCAACATTTCTAATAGATCAAAAATAATGTAAGATTTTAGAAAATCAGAAGCAAAAATAAATCTCCGCGATCGTTGATATCTAAAAATACTAGTACGACATAACCTGGTATTTGTATATACAGATATATTAAAGTTTGCGAAAGCATATAAAAAAAATAAATATAAATTTCATCATTCAAACATATTGTATGTAACCGCAGTAGCGTAACTTCAAATGTGAGCCTCCCCCCGCAAGATTTTTTAGGGGCCCTTATATTAAAATAAAAAAAACACTAAAAAACATAATAAAGCTTTATGTAGGTATATCAAGTCATTTAATATATAAAAACAAAAATTTAACTTATTCCAGGTAAGAAAAAATTATAATAAAGGAACGTAAAAAATAAAACATTACAAAATAAATCAACATAAAACAAAACTTAGGTACTAAAAGAAAACTAAATAATAAAAATAAATAAACATAAATAGAATTTTTCTAATAAAAATATGATTCAAATTAAAATAAATTAATGGGAACAAATAAAATGTAAAAAAGGAACAAATAATGCGGGGCCCTCAAAATCACTAGGCCCCCCCCGCCGCTGCGGGGCCTACGCTACGCTACTGTGTAACCGAACTGTTAATACGAGCTAAATATTAAATATATAACGAGAAAAAAATAAATTATTTTCATTTAATGACGGTGCCCCCAATTAACTTTTAAAAAATTAACTTTATTTAAAATAAGTAAATCAACATTTGCAATTTTTAAAAAAAAATATATAATTAAAAATTAAAATTGAGGTGGGTACATAACTAAGCATAAACATAGAATTCCTTAACCCTTAACCACTAACGTGACGTGTGAGAAACGAACAACACACGGAGAGAAATATTCTCTTGCATTTTAAGAGTATGGGAATATTACTATATTATGAAGTTGAAACAAAAATCTGTATCGTCTGTTTTAAGTATTTTCTTAAATATATAAGCGTTATCTCGGTTAGAGAAATTAGTTCCTTGTTCCAAAATAGCAGGACATCGACATATATTAAAGCCATATAGTCTTGGGACAAGCGTATACTCTTGATTCAGGAAAATATTTTTATCAGCGCATGGACCAACAATAAATATTCAAGTCCGTCAAAGCTAACCTTCTACTAAAGTTATCTACGCTTTAACATACCTCTAGCTGTGCCTCTAGGTAGAAGAGAACAGCTGGTTCGACCTATTTGTTCTTAAGAAGGCTATGAGCAAAAAGCTGACTAGCCCATCACAAAGTGGTAACATTACAGGCGTAGACATAGGTGGCTATTTAGACTGTACTCTTTTATTTAGACTCAATATCCAGACGAAACCAAACAGCACTGCCATTATTTTATATAATTTATTTAAAATAATCCAGAAATAAACCAATACAAATTTGTTTCAAACAAGCGCGTTCGAAACCGCGTAAACCCTGAAAATATATCAAGGATTGAACCTGCTACAAAAGTATATGTATATTTATTATAGTTCTAATTGTAAAAACATTTCAGGGTTTTGCTTGGCCTTCTATGCACGACATGACAGCAAAATGGATACCACCTAATGAGAGGAGTAAATTTGTTACAGCGTATTTAGGTAAAATATTATGTTCAATAATAATGCCTAATAATTCGTCATCTAAACGATGTCCTGTTTGGCGATCCTGTATCAAATGTTTGTAAAAAGTAGATATTCAAATTTTAGTGAACCGAAATTTGCGTATGTAGCTACTGTTTTTAGTCCATAATTAATTTATGTGTATCTAGATGTTAAATATAATTTTACCCTATACATATACTACAAATAGACGGAGAGCTGGCTACATAAAAAACTTTATCATCGTTACATGGCTAATTTTTCTTGTGAGGTATCGTTTTGTGTAGCCATTATGAAATAGTCATGTCTGCCAGCGCAATCTGGGCGCTTAAAGTGGGGGCGGCCAATCGAAAGGGTGACATTTTTATACTAAAAACTAAAAATATTATAGGTACACGAGTTATAATTGCGAAAATAGCTATTATTTATTATTAAGAAACGTGGAAAATTGTTGGCAGACATTTTTCTCGTCGGTAAAATGCCGGCAGACAACGCGAAAAAGGGATGAAATTTAAAAAAAATATATGGCATATAATAGTATATTACATATGCATGCCGATTAGTGGAATGTCATATTTATTTATTTAAAAAGCTGCATGCAAAAGAGCAAATAACAAAATCTTGGCTAAATCAGCGATAGACAGTTATCAAAAGCGCCATGTTACTGTACAGGGTGAGTCTTGAATAAGTGCAAATATTTTCAGAGCTAATAGATCTCGATAAAAGAAACATATTTTCTCTTTACCGTCTTCCAAAATAGCAGAGTTATAGTCTAAGAGCTGGCTACATAGAAAACCTTATCATCGTTACATGGCTAATTTTTTGTGTGAAGTATCCTTTTGTGTAGCCATAATGAAATAGTCACTACCAGCGCGATCCCGGGGCTTAAAGCCGGGGGCGGCCAATCGAAAGGGTGAGATTTGGACAGTAAAAATATTATAAGGTACATGAGTTATAATTGCGAAAATAGCTTTTATTTATTATTAAGAAATGTGGAAAATTGTTGGCAGACATTTTTCTGGTCGCTAAAATGCCGACAGACAACGCGAAAGAGGCATGAAATTTTAAAAATTATATCGAAAATTATTAAAAAATGAAATTTGAAGAATGAAAAAAAATATGGCATACATGCATGCCCATTGGTGGAATGTCATATTTATTTATTTTAAAAGCCGTATGCAAAAGGGCAGACAAAAATAACGTGGCTAAATCAGCCGCAGACAGTTGTTATCAAAAGCGCGAATTACTCCAGCGCTGTCAGGGAACGCTCGCCACCTCATCCATTTAGGTATAGATAAATCATGTATACGATTACATTATAAATATGTTTTTTTATTATTTCAAAACAGATATCATACATTTACTATTCTGTCTCACTATTTGTATCTGACTCATCTTACTGCAGATCCCCGCTCTCACAAGCGAGTCTCTGAGTCGATATCTGCGCCGTAAAATTTTTATAGACTTACAGGTATTATGTTTCAATTGATAATGCGGCCAGCGTTTTCTGAAAACGCTTATACAGGGTGAGACTTAAATAAGTGAAAATATTTTTAAGGGTGATATATTTCGACCCCAGGAACACGTCTATGATTTTTTTTTTTCGCAAAAAAGATGTAGAAAATCGCGAAAATTATTTTTAAATTTTCCTGTATATTTTAGAAAACTTTTTAGAACTGCTTGTTGACCGCAAATTTACCAACGGTAAAATTATTTCTTTACCAATCATGCTTACGGCTTTACTATATGGCTACGAAACTAAAATAATGGATGCAATAATATATATATATATATATATATATATATATATATATAATATAATGGATGCAATAATATATATATATATATATATATATATATATATATATATATATATATATATATATATATATATATATATATATATATATATATATATATATATATATATAGATCTCGATAAAAAAAAACATATTTTCTTTTTACCCTTTTCCAAATAAGTCCAAAATAATCGCGTTATTCAAGTTTAAAAAGAAATTTATTTATTTTAATAATAAAATATGTTTTTTTTATGAAAAAGAAAATATGTTTTTTTTTTATCGAGATCTACCAGCTCTGAAAATATTTGCACTTATTTGAGATTCACCCTGTAGAGTAATATCGCGTTTTTTATAACTGTCTACCGCTGATTGAGCCACGATTTTTTTGTTTGTTCATTTGCATATGGCTTTTTAAATAAATAAACATTTACATTCCACCAATCGACATGCATGTCTGCGATGACTTTTTTTGTCAAATTCCATGCCTCTTTCGGGTTGTCTACCGGCACCGATTAACCAAACCAAGCCACGAGAAAAATGTCTGTCAACAGTTTTACACGTTTCTTAATAATAAATAAAAGATATTTTCGCAATTATAACACGTGTACCTTATAATACTTTTAGTGTCATAATTTCACTCTTTCGATTGACCACCCCAGCTTAAAGCCCCGGGATCGCGCTGGCAGACATGACTATTCCATAATGGCTACACAAAAGGATACTTCACACAAAAAACTAGCCATGTAACGATGATAAGGTTTTTTATGTAGCCAGCTCTCCGTCTATTATTCAAGTTTGAAAATTTACAAAGAAATCGATTTATTTTTAAATAATTTTGTTAGCCACCTGCTTTTTTCTGTATTTGCATCCATTCTTTTAGTGTCGTGACCATAGAGTAAAGCCGTAGGCATTGTAGATTAAGAAATTATAACGTGGGTAAATATGCGGTGAACAGGCAGTTCTAAAAAGTTCTCTAAAATATAGGGGAAAATTAAAAAAATACAGGATTTTCAACATCTTTTTGTGAATAAACCTCATAGACCTGTTCCTGGGGTCGAAATATCAGTATGGGGTCAGTATCACCCCTAAAAGTATTTCCAGTTATTTAAGACTTACCCTGTATAAGCGTTTTCAAGAAACGCTCGCCGCGTTATCAATTGAAACATGATACATGAAAATCTACAAAAATTTTACGGTGCAGATATCGACTCAATGGAAGACTCGTTAGCGAGAGCGAGAATCTGCAGTACCATGAGTCAAATACAAATAAATAATGAGACGTGAGACAGAATAGTAAATGTATGATATATGTTATTGTGAAATAATAAAAAAATACATTTATAATAAAATCGTATAATATGATTTATCTATCTAAGCGCTAGAGTAATATCGTCTTCTGATAACTGTCTGCCGCTGATTTAGCCACGATCTTTTTGTCAGTCTTTTTGCATACGGCTTTTAATATAAATAAATATGACATTCCACCAATCGGCATGCATGCATGCCATAATTTTTTTTCAAAATTTCATCCCTCTTTCGCGTTGTCTGTCGGCATTTTAGCGACGAGAAACATGTCTGCCCACAATTTTACACGTTTCTTAATAGTAAATGAAAGCTATTTTCGCAATTATAACTCTTGTACCTTATAATAGTTTTAGTGTCAAAATTTCACCCTTTTGATTGGCCGACCCCGCTTTAAGCCCCGGGACTGCGCCGGCAGACATGACTATTTCATAATGGCTACACAAATGGATACTTCACAAGAAAAATTAGCCATGTAACGATGATAAGGTTTTTTATGTAGCCAGCTCTTAGACTAAAAGCTCCCGTGATGTTTGGGTATCCATTTTTAGTTATTTGTTAGGCATACTTTAATTAATTCAAAATTATGTAAGTCCAAAACTTCTGTTTTAAGCTATTGATGAGCAATTCGATGTTATCTTGCTTTAAAAACTCAATTGTTTTCGAGGTGTGGGGGAACTTGTATTGTCTTGTTGGAAGATCATTCGTCGTTGAGAGTTGTTTTTTCGACACTCAGCAATTACTTCAGGCAAAGAAATAGACATGTGCCAATTAGCACTAACAGTTATTCGATCTTGTAAAGGAATTGTTACTACATGACCCACTTTTGAGACAAATGTCGTCCCCATATTTTTGGAAACATTTCTAGAACGGGTAACTCTTGTCGGTTTTGGTTCACCTCGGAAAACCCAAACAGATTAACGTTTATTTTCGGGTTCATAAGAATAAATTCAGGATTCATCACCAATGACAATAATATAAATATTTTTTGAGTGTTAAACCGGTGTAGAGTTTTTTTGACACCAATTGACTCTCACTGCTTTTTATTGTTCTGTCAACAGATGCGGTATCCAACCAGAACTTTTTTTTAATATTCTTCATGTAAATTTTTTGAATGGGGTCTTTTAAATACCCAAGTATGCTTCAATTTTACGATATCTGACATTTCAATCTTCTTGGATCAGCTTTCAGCTTACGTACAGCATCGACGTTTTCCTGGCTAATTGCCGTTGTTGGTGGACCTCTACTTGTATCGTCACTAAGACTAATCCTTCCACTTTTAAATTCTCTCTACCTGTAAGATTGTTTGATGTTGACTGGTGTGGTGGGATAGCCGAAAACAGAAACCAACTCAGCGAGACATTCTTGTTGAGGCAACTGTCTTCAAAAATTGTAAAAAATTATTGCGTAAAAATTTTCTTTACTTAATTCCATTTGTCGACTGATTCGTCAACTTCAGTAATTCGGTTTAGGTACAGCTTTAAACGAAGCACTCTAAAACTTTGCGTTGAGTTAACTAAAGATGACAGTAAATTTTGACATTTGATATATGTTGACACGCACCTATTATGTTTCTATACGCAAAATATAAAAGACAACCCTCATACTGAACACACTGACGGTGCTCTTTGACATGAAAATCGGCACCCAATGCCGGGCGTTGCCTACCGTGTATATATGGATAGCATATGGACAGCATACATTTAAAGCATGTATTATTTTACAGTCCCTATTTTATTTTATGTAAGAGAATAAGGCAAAGATAACCAAAAATGAATGCCTCTGAAAGAACAAAGCCTACGAAGATATATTATTTTGGGAATCAAAAAAATCTAAAAGGTCTTTGTTATGTAAAATTGCCCTCAAAATTATTTTTTGTTATTCAAATTTTCTAAAAACTCTTTTCAGGCTAATAATATTGAAGTAAGGCTTATATTTTAATATAAATAACCATATTATGTATTATTTCTAATTAAAAAGTACTAAATATTTCAACGGCAAAGAATATAGTTTTTGTAGTTACTGTATGTCATGTCATATATTATACCGAGTGCGTCTCAAAGTGGCTCACCCCTATAACTTTTTTTTATTTTTTCAGATAAAAAACCGAGATTTAGTATGTTAGTATACGACATAAATTAGGATTGATTGACGTATTCAATTGTTCCCTCCAAAAAAATCCTTTATGGGTATTTCGCCACTGCACTGCAAGAAAATCTACAAAATAAAATATTTATTTTTGTAAGCACTTCTGCGTTAAACCTAAACGGACGCTGCTTGTTAGAAGTTATAACTGTTTTATTTTTATATAAAGTTATAACTTAACGTTTCAGAAAGTTATCTCTTTCCGTCGTCGGAAGCAAAAAAAATACAAAGAATAAAGAAAAAAATTATTTAAAATATTTAAATTCAACTATTCGAGAACACTTTACTTTTTTAAAACAGATACGTCTACAGGAAACCGTTAAAAACTGTTTTAAAAAAGTAAAGTGTTCTCGAATAATTGAATTTAAATATTTTAAATAGTTTTTTTCTTTATCCTTTGTATTTTTTTGCTTCCGACGATGAAAAGAGATAACTTTTCGAAACGTTAAGCATTTTTTTCTTTGTTAGACAAATTTATATTAATGTAAACATAATTTCTGGCAAGCAGCGTCCGTTTAGGTTTAACGCCAGAAGTGTTTACAAAAAATAACTTCCTGTTTCACTGAAAATGACTACAACTTTTGATTTTTAAATGGAACCCTCAGTATTTTTTTACTATATTAGATAGAAAGTGACACTCTAAATAGAATGAGATATCATGTCATTTTTTCATGTTAACTTTTAACATTCTCGTTTAAAAAAATCGTATCTTAAACTCCAATCTAGAGTGCCATGGCTGTGTTAAAAACACTAATTTTTAATCAAGGATCCTTGGAGAAATAGATTTGATCATCTAATGTTTCTGTTCTGGCTGGTTAAAAGATGCCCAAATCGTATTTTTAATCATATCTCAATTTTTTCAAATAAAACGAGGGTGGCTCATTAAGATATTTGGTAAAATCATTTTATTACGAATAATTTGGTACCACACACTGGTATTTCGAGTATTTTTTTTAATTGAAAATGTCAAAAATTGGCATATGCTACGTCATTCCATCCAGAAAGACATTTTCTATCAAATGAAGTAAAAAAAATATGTCATTTAAAAATTAAAAGTTGCAGTTATTTCCGGTGAAACACGAAGTGACCGAAAATAATTGATGTAGCCTAATTTATGTCATATATTAACATTCTAAATTTCGTTTTTTATCTGAAAAAATAAAAAAGTTATAGGGGTGAGCCACTTTTGAGACGCATCCGGTGTATTTTATGGCATTACTCATACATTATTTACTATATCTACTCTAAAAGTTAAACTTGCATATTTTTTATGGCTATATTGTAGAGAAATCGCCTCTTTGTAAGTGCCTTCGAAAATATTCTACCTAAGAATATAAAAATCTGCTTTCAATTTCTAGATAGTAAGAGAGTTCAAAAAGTCGTCTGATCCTCTTTGATATATAAACAGGATAACGAAGAATGGCTTAAACATTTTCTGAAAAATTGAACATGGAAACGATGATGTGGAATTAATAGGCAATTTATTTTAGCTGCTGCTTTTACTCGGTCATATCACTTATAACCTGGATTATGGAAAATATCGATATGAGAAGTTCTAACATTCAAATTAAACACAATGTATCAAGCTTCTGTTAAAATTGCAAATAAAAATATATTTTTAGTTGTGATATCTCCACAGAACATTTATTTTATATTTATTTCAACTTTTGTTTTCAGCTCTTTTTTTATCTTGACAAAATTATATATGATATATTGGATTGATTATTATTATCAATTTAATTAGAATATGAGAATGAAAAGTAAATTTATCTCATGAAATTTTTCATTACCATATATTTTTTTTTTAATATGGAGGAATTTTTGAAATTTTACTAATTCTGTGAATCTTTATGTGTGTTATTTTGTGACTGAAACAATACACGTAAAAATAATAATTTTTTGTAAAAAATTCCATCATATTTTTCAATATTTTTGGGCTACTAAATACAATTTAATAATGCCAAAAATAGCATGAAAACCAGATAGCAAACAGCATGAAAACCAGATAGCATTGTTTAATATAATACTTTTCTAGGTAGCTCTGTTGGTGCTGCAATGACTTACCCCATTTGTGGGTTTATAATAGACAGATGGGGATGGGAATATGTGTTCTACGCTTGCAGCGCGTTTGGTACATCGTGGTTCATAGCTTGGTGGGCGCTGGTCCATGACAGTCCTAGTGAACATCCCCGGATATCGGACAATGAAAAGGAATATATCCTGACAAGTCTAGGAAAAAGCGTGGCAAAAGACAAAGTAAGAAATACCTCATTTAACTTTCTTCTTCTCTAACTTTTTTTACGTTTCGCATTGTAACAGACTATTTCCACAACTTTCCAATAAATTCCTTAAAAAGCAAATTATTCGATAGAAACATATTTTTTCGATACACATACATTATTTATTCTAATCTAACAAACCATTGTAATTTTTCAAATAAGTCGTCAAAAGAGTAAAATCAAATTTAATTTAATTTATAAAAATTGACTCTAATTATTAGTAATAACGTTTTTTTTTCTCCAACTTGTATTAATATTACATTTTTATATACGTTTAATCAGGTCAATTATTGCTATTAAATTTGTTGAATTCATATTCTTTAATACCTTATTTTATTAAACATCCATATGCTCATATTTTTAAATATATTTTTTTCTGCAGGTATTTATCATGATACGCCAGCTATTTTTAGGCTTAAATTATTGTGCTTAATCTCCATGAGAGTAATAAATTTTGCTTAGGTTGATTTTAACCCTGATTTATTTAAAATCGATTTCTTGCCAAGCAGTCAAAGATATTTGGCGGAAAATATAATTAAAATAGGTTTACGAAAACTTGTCATAAAAATATGCTGATTATATAATTATTTTTCTAAGATAACATAAGAAAATAAATGAATGAAAATAACATGCAGGGTGTTTCAGAAATAAAGGCAGATATTTTGAATGCTCTAGTATATTTCGACTCCAGAAACACGCCTATGAGTATTTTTTGTGAAAAAAAATTGTTGAAAATTTTAAAATTTTTCCTGACATTTTCCGGGAGATTTTAAAAACCTTTTAGTGCCATTTGTTTATTCACCTGAGATTTCTCCTACGGTGAATCTAAACCTTGCAGTGTTGCCACCTCCTGCGTTATCCATATTCTGCATATTTCTATATTTATAAATTCACAGCAACTTTAAATTTCTACACATAAAATTAGGAATGTTATTTTTAATCTTTTATCTAAATTTGTTAATAAATTCACTAATTTTAATTCAAATTCTGATTGATATTTGTTCAATTTAATCTAATATTATTAGATACCTATTAGTTACAGAGCAAAATAAAACACTAATAACAATTATGCCATACGCATACCCTTTAAGTTAGGCAACTGTCTTGACAAGCGTGTTTCGATTACTTTAGATTCAACCGTTTTGTTTGTTTCTTGCTTGCGTCATGCGACAATATTAAGCGACGTTGCCTTAGTTACAACAATTTTAAATTCAAGACATTTGAAGCAATCCAATTAAATTTAATACGAATTGGATTGCTTCAAATGTCTTGAATTTAAAATTGTTGTAACTAAGGCAACGTCGCTTAATATTGTCGCATGACGCAAGCTCGCCAGGGCGCGGCGCATTTTAAAGAACCTGTTAGCACGTGGCACTTTTGGTGGATAGTTTGGAGGATAGTTGTCGATGAAACCATTAAATACATTGCAATGCATCTGAAATACATCGAAAAAACAGCAAAAAAATATATTTAAAATTGTTGAGTGAAACATATAAAAGGCAATAATTCTCAACATTTATTCGTTCAGAAAGGTATTCAAAGTAGTGTGCGCTTTTCAAGATCCTTTGTAAATCAGTGGTTTATCAAATTATGATAAAGCCTGTATACAAATAATATGTTAGAAACGGGGACTGTTATTTTAGCAGTTATTATAATAGCATGTACAAGTAAAGCAGCACACTGAAGTGTATTTTTAAGTGTGTATCAAAAAAGAGAACTGTCACAGTTAGTTTTCTGTCATTACTAAATCTGTCATAAGTATTTTTGTTAATGTTATGGGTAGGTTGTTTCTTTTAATTTATTTTCTGTAATAATAAAACCACCTTAGAAATGTAATGCATCTCTGCTAAACTCCTCAGGTGGTGTGATTTTCTAACTTATTTTTAAGAATATACTTTCTTGACTATGCGGCAACACATGGCGTAGAATTATCTGAGATTCGGGCACCGATCCGGGTAATTAGATGGTGTTGACGATATACATATGCCGGCGATTCTCAAAATGTTGCCATATTTTTTTAAATCTTCAAAGTTAAATAACCCGGTTATTTTGAATTTATTTTAAAAATGGTAAAGAGAAAATATGTTTCTTTTGACCAGAAATGCCACCCGTTAAAATATCTGCTCTTATTTCTGGGATACCCTATATATTTTAATTTTCTAGTTTTTAATATTCTATATAATTAATATATTATGATAAATAGTTTTCCAGTCTATTAATCTAAGATTTTTTATATTTTCAACAAGTACAAAAATAGTATGTACAGGGTGTTCATCTGCTGATTATCCCTTAATTTAACATGCTTATTATTATCACTTACAGAAATAATATTAATATATGTTATATTAATTCTACAGAAATATTTATATTTGCTGGCTAGATAATAATTATGTTTGAATCGGTTTATAACTTCCAAATATTTTAATCTTGATAATGCCAACTTTTTTTTGAACTAATATTTTTTAATCATAAGTCATTCAAATTATTCATAAACACCTAATGACTATATTATGTGCTGTAGAAATGTTTTGATACTGAAATAAACCGGGTAATATGAGATTCCCTATACTTTCAAAAACAATATGCCTCATCAACGATCTACTAGCTAAAAGACTATTCTAGATGAACTACAGTTCACATAATCAAAAGAAATACGGCCGCCAATCTCTTAGTCGTGCATAAAACTGAAAAGTACAAATTGAAGGTTGCTAAAGTTTTTTACCAGAGTTGTGAAAATTTTAATAGTGTCGTTATTTCGATATTTGATATTTAGCGGTAATAATTGTTTATTTAGTCAGGTAAAGCTTAACAAATTATATTGTATTTGCTTAGGCTTAAATTGTATTAATATGTTATTGTCTCTGCCCCCCCCCCCTAAGATATTGCGGGTAATAAAAAAAATAACCACTTTTATAATGACTTGTATTCTTTGTGCCATTTTTGTATGTAAAACAAAGAATTCAAGAAAATCTTGTATACCCGTTTATTTAACTCATTATAACTCATCCCATATTATCCTCCATTCTTATTCCACATTATCCATATTACTTTCACAAATGCGTTCATGTTTCTGTATATTGTTTTGTAACTCAAAATCTCTTTTGTTATCTAACTCTTACAGAAGACTTTTTTAAATAATATAAAGAGCTATTTACTTCTGAAATTTTGAAACTATTTTTTAATAAAATAATAAGTGCAAATAATTAGGTATATTTTTTGTATATTTCGAGCCCATAAACACGTCTATGTGGTTTTTAACCCGCAGGAAAATTGAAAATTTTGTATTTTATAAAATTGGATGTTTTATTTTTTAAATAAAAAAACATATTATCTTGATTTTATGGCAATATAGGTAGAATATTAAATTTATCCAGAAACCATAGAAAAATCCAGTGGTTCTTAATTTTAAAGCAATTTTTTTTAATTTTTGAAGTAAAATAACTCGGTTATTTTGGAAAGAAACATATAGTCCATGTTTCTTTTATCGAGATCTACCAGCCCTGAAAATATTTGCACTTATTTAAGACACACCCTGTATAGGAAAATAAAAATTGTATTACTTATTACCCGAAAATCCACTAGTATGTAAATATACTAGCAAATCCAGATTAGCAATTTAGTAGTGGATCGAGTGACCTAATAACTTGTGAAATGGATTAGAAAAACAAAATTATGCTTTTTAGTAATTGCAGTAGGGCATTGCTTTTCATTTGCAGAATGAATAACAATGTCACTCTCGAATATAACCTTAAAAAAGCGATTTAAATTTCCGTGTAGTATACCCTCCCTACACGACATGTTACATATTTGTCTCAAGAGACACTCTTACCATCTAGATGCAAATTTAGATCTGATTTCCACTGATATTACCGCTATGTATCTATAATAATCTAGCGCATAAACAGAATATAAATATTTATATTTCAATTTAAGTTAATTAAATTTAATTTAAGTTAAACCAGAACAGCCGCTGCAAATAAAGATGTCTGATATCGATACTAACAATTTATAACAAAATTGTTAAATAGGTGTATATGTACAGGGTGGCGCACCTCATTCGCCTCGGTTGATTATACGAAAACGGAAAGATGTAGAAACAAAATATATTATGAGTATATGTGAGGAGGCAATGTGCACAATTTAAAATTATTTTGAAATATACAGGGTGTTTCAGAACTAAGATCCATACCAAAGTTATATTTTTTCTTATGGGACACCCGGTATTTTATTTCATTTTTGTATTGCTGGGTCCAAAAAAAAGCATTTATTATAAGGATTAAATATGTTAAAAATCATTGGTTTTTGAGATATTTAAATATATTTTAATTTGCATGCTACTAAAGAATAGATTATTAAAACCCTGTACAGGGTGGGTCAAATTCGACGCTTTTAAATGGAAACACCCTTTTCTATAGGAAATAGACAAAAACTAATATCGGTGTCTGGAGCTCAATTTTCATCAAAAACATGATGGTGAAAACCGCACATCAACATCTGTTACCGTTTCGGAGTTACGGGTTGTTTTTCAAAAATGTGCATTTTTAACAAATCGCTGTAACTTTTTTACTATGAAAAATTTTGTATTTCTATGAAAACATTTCCAAAGCACCTTTTTATGTAGAATGTAATGGTTTAAGTATGATTTTTTTAAAATTAATAATTTAAGAGTTATCAACAGAAAAATTGATTTTTTATTTGGGACACCCTCTATATTTTTAATTAACTGAAAATAATTTAAAATTACCTTTCCAAAAATATAGCATACTTGATATTTTGTTATAATCCCCTTCGAAATACAGAATTTTTAAAAGTTCGCCAGTTTAAACTTAGGCTTTGGACCTTTTATTGAAGATATCCCCTTAATGGAACTCGAAAATATATTTTTCCAGCAATACGACGGACCGCTTCTGAACACTGAAGTTATCAGCAAATTTTTGCAGCCAATTTCAAGAATAATTGAATAGCTAACCAAGATCC